TCTGAAACATGTATATATATATATATATATATATATATATATATGCTTTATTCATACCTTCATATAAACTGGTAATTGTATTGAGATTTTGGGTAGTTACTGTGGAGAGTTCTATCTTGTGAGATATGGTGCCATGTAGTTTGCGAGGTAGGTACGAACATTTCAGAGGAACAGCCAGCTTCCAAGCTGGATGGGGGCAACATGTTTCTGTGAAATGTTGCTACCCGTCTGCTGAACTACATGGCCTCACATCCCACAAGACTAGTCTTCATAGTAATACATCGTTCAGTTTTTACCAGAACTGTATTTGACAAGTGGAATTATTGTATGTGTACTGATGGATATAGAGATAACCGTTGTTAAATTAATAGACACTTAACAATTTGCTGTGAAACACCAAACACTTCTGTCAGGTCCTAATATGTGCTATCATTTCAGTCAGTGATCATACCCATCTACAATGGGGAAGCATGGATTGAGGAGTGCTTTAAGTCAATAAAGCTGCAGACAGCTGTGGGATGTATCAAACTGGAAATATCTGTGTATGATGATGCCAGCACTGATCGGACATGGGAGATGTTGCAAGACTGGAAGCATGAATTCAGTACCGCAGGCATCAGATTTACAGCATCCAGGAACAATTCCTTGAGACCAAGAGGAGGTACACTTAATGTCACAGGGCTGGATTGTGTCCGTTACTTTATATCACATTATCAATGCTAGAAACCAAACATGTGATTAATTAATTTCTGTATTAAACCATCATAATATAATAAATACATAATTATGTTGGATTTGAGTGTTACACATCAGGACTGTGACCTGGGTTGTAATGCTGTGTAGCTTGAAGACAGCTGAATGTTTTGATTGCTTCCATCTTCAGAGTTGAAAAGTGAGCCAAGAAACCAGTAGAGGCAGGTGGCAAGCAGAGTGACCTGCATGGCTGTTTCTCTGCGTCTGGTTTGTGCTACTTAACCACTTGTTACTGCTGGTTTCTTGCTTGACCTACTTTCAACCCTTCAAAACATTGGGCTCTCTTGAAATTACATGGCATTATAATCTCGAACACCATACACTTCATACTCGCAACACTGAGAACGTCAAACCTGACATTACACAGTACTGATCATCCATTAATTGCTTCTGCTTTTAATGTAAACACATATGAAAAATTTCGTGAATGTTCATATCCAAATCCATATTTGCATATACAGTCTTTTACATAGGATATTTCTTAGGTTTTCCATACACATCAGGATGATGATGACATTATTATTATTATTATTATTATTATTATCTTCATCATCGTCATCGTCTCGTCATCGTCATCATCATCATCATCGTCATCATCATCATCTTCATCATCATCGTCTTCGTCATCATCGTCATCGTCATCATCATCATCATCATCGTCGTCGTCATCATCGTCATCATCTTCATCGTCTTCATCATCATCGTCTTCGTCGTCGTCGTCGTCATCGTCATCATCATCATCATCATCATCGTCGTCATCATCATCTTCATCATCTTCGTCATCGTCATCGTCATCGTCGTCATCATCGTCATCATCATCATCATCATCATCATGTACGTGGGGCTCCACAATGCAGTGCAGTCATGACAACTGGTGCTGGAAAAATACAAAATAGTGCAGATCCCAAGAACCCCTTACAAATAAACATTTTTCTTAGAAATGGCAGCAGCTAGTGACTGATATCCACATATCAGCAGTTAGTACTACAAGCAAGGAGCATATTCAGCCCTCTGTCAGCACACTGTTGTGTCATAATATCATGCCTCATCATTACAGTTTTATTGTATAGAGATGTAGAAAGCAAAGTTTGAATCATCCCTGTGCTTTATTATATTGTGTTTACTATATCCAGTGCTTAGCCGGTCACGGTAGCCGAGCGGTCTAAGGCGTGCACTGTCTTCGCTCGCTCGGAAGCCGGGATCATGGGTTCGAATCCCACCCAAGGCATGGATGTTTGTGTGCGTTTTTCTGTCCTTGTGTACAGGTAGAGGCCTTGCGACGAGCTGATCACCCGCCCAAGGAGTCCTACCGAGTGTGTAAGATCTAGAAAACCGAAGTGAACGAGAGTTTCATGGAGGTAGGCCTAGGCCTGCTGGAGCTGTAATGCCAAGGAAAAAAAAAATATCCAGTGCTTTCTTTGTGAGGGGGATAAATTGCCAGTTATTGTGTGCATTGCCTTCTTTTATTTTTTTAAAAATTATTCAGTTTGTATGAAGTCTAGCATGGCCATTAGATAAACTGTATTTTCTTTTGTATAATAAATTATATTAGTATCAGATGTTGCTGGTTCCACTGTCTCACGTGCAACATGTCTTCCTATAAATTTATTAAAACTTATTCACTTTAAAAGTTTTACACACCAACTTTCAAATTTTTAAAAGTTCTTCACTGCATGTTTCGACCAATATGGTAATCATCAAGTGTTTAAAACTATAGTTGAAACTGCTGTACTTTTATTATTGTGGCTTAAGTTATTAATATATTGTGACATGTTACAATATGGTCACCTCTATGTGCATGTGTCTCTGTAACATGTATAAGTATTTTCGTAATAGTGTGCATCCATTGTTTGTCATAAATAAGATACACAAATGTACATAAGGTATGCAGTCTACACAACAATATTCGGCATTTAAAAAACAAAGAAGACACTACATATTTGTTGTATTCTTATGGTTTAATACATCAGTTGATATATTGAAATACAGTGATATGGATTCAAATATTAAACTGAATATGGTAAAGGTAAAGGTATCCCTGTAACAGGCTGTGAAGTCCCATAGGATTCTGAGACATTGAGGCTCCCACATTTTGTCAAGACAGTCAGCTCACAGATGGCTCTAAGGTTGTCAGCCTTACGTGTCATTTGCCTTGTACTTCCCAGGAAGATTCATGGTGTAGTTAGTGCCTTGTAACTATAGCTGTGCGGAAAGGTAAATGCTGTTGTGGAGCACGCGAAGCTGTACGCTTGCTGTGGTGACGTTCAGAGCTACTCCCTGAACGGAAAACATTAGCTATTACTTCCCTGGCCACAGTATGAATTGTTCCATGCGATTGTCTGTGTGCCATGATAGTGACATGAACACCACGTAATACAATCGCTATGACTGGTACCAACTAACAAGCAACATAACGTACTATACACCTGACCACACTCCAAGATGCTACATTCCAAACTGGTAGTACCCACACTGACATAAGCTGATAAGACTGTTAACCCAGCCCCGTGAGAGATGGTATGGCCCCTCTACCACGGCTAGAGTTCCGAGGAACTAATGGTAGTCACTTCTGTTAGAGGCCGAGTTGACCCCAGAGTCATAGTGCAGGTGGGAGGATTGGGTAAATGGAAAAAATCCTCCTCATTGTGGCTTGGAACCGTGACCTTCCAGCTTGTAGCATAGTGCCTCAACCATCTACACTACTGTGTGTCCTGTGCTTATGTGAACGTTCTTTGTTTGTTCATTCATGGAATACAGTAATGGTTTATAGCCTATTTACAGAATGGCATACTTTCTTTTAATTACCATAACCTGGGACAAACCAGGATCTCTTTTTGAGTAATATCATGTTCACAGTTTAATTATTAATATTACACATTTAATGCTGTGTAGATTTACATCAGCAACACATTAATGTAAAGACCAAAGAGATATGTAAAATCACAGTAATTAATCTGGAAAATGTCTTCCAACTTGAAGTACACTTTCCCATGCCTGTTAAGTTATGAATTCTTTTTTTTTTTGACAGCGGGGTATGCAAAGAACCGTTCAGTTGAACAGAGTACAGGGCACTTCCTCTGTTTTCAGGATGTGGTAAGAACTCTTCAGTTTGTTTTAGTAAGGCATGTGCATGTACATGTTATTGCTGCATATCATAAACCATAGTGCTTGTTTTCTCTGCTCTTATGTAAATATACTGTGTATAGGACTGCTGCTGCTACCACCACTACCACTACTGCTACTGCAGTTATTACATCTTCCTCTCCTGCCACTACTACTATTGCTGCATCTTCCTCTCCTGCCACTAATACTATTGCTGTATCTTCCTCTCCTGCCACTACTACTATTGCTGTATCTTCCTCTCCTGTCACTGCTACAGGTACTTCTTGGTATTTGCAAGTCTGAAAAATATGACTTAATTTTAATATGTGATTGAAAATAAAACAAACTCTGTGGTTTGAGTCCCAAAGTGAACTATACAGACACTTGACTTTAATTTGAATTGTGTGCTGGCCAATCGAGAGGGAGGGAGGGGGAGATAGATAGATAGATAGATTTGAGTTTCAGAGGAGAAATGCGAGAGGAGAAGGGAAAATTTGTCCCCTCTGCACAGATTCATCTGTGCATCTGCTGTCACTCTTCGTGGGGATAAGAAAATGCTCAGTATGGTGTTTCCGTACGTTTGATATGCAGTTTCATCCAGCTGTTACATAAACTGAGGAGTTCTTACACTTGAAAGATTGTGAATATGTAAAGCGGATTGTGTTCAGTGTGATGGAGTTTCAGTGGTGAGGGCACTGAAAGTTTGGGTTTTATTACACAGAGAGTTAGTCACCCACTACTGTGAAGTGGGATCTTTTGTTTTGATATTGGAAGTCTGGCATCTCTGTTGTAGTAAGAGTATGTTGTAACACAAGTTGCAGTTCTTATTATTTAGTAGTTCCCCCACAAGAATGCTCTAAATTACATCTGCAAGATCAGTAAACACAAGATCAGCTGTACTGAGCCTGTGAGCCTGGACTGACAGAGGCCTTGTATATGTTGTATATATATACACAAGGCCTCTGTCAGTACTGCAGCTTGTGTTACATCATACTCTTACTACATTTAATAACATGTAAAATGTAAACAACTGACAATAGACTTATTACTGCTGACTGTGACTCTGGCAAACAACAGATCTGTCCTCTTGTCAGAGAGAGTGCCTCACATCAACAAACCTTCAAGTGTCTTGACAGTAATAAAGATCTGGTTTTAAGCCCCAGATGGGTGCTATATTCCAAGACAGACTGGCCAACTGACCATTGGTTTAGAATAACTTTGACTTGAGTAAACACACCGTGATTGACTGAAGCCATTTCACTCTCGCATCTGTGTGCAATTTTCCCGCTTTTCTTATAGGATGACATCATGCTACCAGACCGAATCCTCCATCAGTATGAAACAGCCAAGAAAAACACCAATGCAGTAAGTAAAGCAATTGGCTATGCAGCATTTTAGTTATGGCTCATTTCCTCAAATGCAAGCTTTTGGGAGTTACAATTTGAGGGAGAGTTTCTTGGGAGTATGAAGGACAGATGAATACTGTATGTACAGGGAGAATGCTTATTGCATGACAACAAGTGGTAACTTACATTAACAGAAAAATTTACAACTACTCATAAATCCTGGCTAAAATATATGGGTAACTGTAGTATGTATTGGGCAAGAAGACCACATTCGTAATTGTAAAAGCTGTTTTCTCTTGAAGTATCTGTTAGAAGTGGGTTGATTCTTACTTTATTCACTGACACTAATTCAACTGGCATATTGTCATATGTATGACTAAATATAGATGGGGTTTGGATTGTTGACCTTGATTTATTGACCACTTATACACACATCTCGTAACTATAACAGCCTCACTGGTTTACACACTCTAAATATCAGCATAACTGCAGCACATGTAAATCTTTGCTAGTCATTTCGTGGTAATGGATCCCAACAGTGTCCTCTGCTCTCGTCCATACTGTCTGGAAAATACCCCACAACCTAGCTAAATTCTAAACTTGTCCATTTATAACCCCTTGGCGTGGACTGTGTAAAAACACCGTTCATCACTGTTGTAGTTCAGTCGTTGCTTGTTAAGAATCTGCTGCCTAGCAATGGGTCTATATGTTACAATATGTTAAGTAAGTCCTCCGGGAGGGACTTTAAGCTGTGTGTCCCGTGTCGTAACTTTACAGCACGTAAAAGAACCTCATATCCCCAAAGGGGATCACTGAGCCAAATTCCAGGATGTTTCCCGCCCAACAATAGTCTCTAAGGCCTCTGATAGATGGGGGAAGCATTATAGACACCGCTAAGCAAGTGGCCGAACTCGCTTGCTCGGCGGGACTGATGGTACACACCATTTATCGGTAGGGTATAGAGACTGGTAGAATATCATAGAGGGAAGCACAATAGATCAAACTAGTCACGGTGCATGGGGAAACCCACCCTCTCTAAATAACTAACTAAGATGGGAAGATGATGGTGAATAGCAGTCATGGATTACTTCAAGGTATTACTCTGTGACCCTGAATATTCAGGTGAAAGGTTCCTCAGAAATGTTAGTAATGTTGTACTGGACCGCGTTGCATCACATACCAGCAGACAGTCATCTTCAAGGAAAAGTCCAGGAATTTGGGATCTACTTATGTGTTCATGAAACATTAAACTGTTGCAGATTGTGGGATGTGGTTTCCATCGTTTGCCTGCTGACTCCACAGTACGCTTCACACGATGGGCCAACTCACTGGATGACCAGCAGCTTTATCACCAGCAGTATACTTCTTATGGACCAACCGTTGTGATGCCAACTTGGTTCTGTGAAAGGGGTGTGTTTGACAGGTGGGTTGTTTTAAACCATAATGGATGTAATAGAATCTTAAATTAGTTCATAAACAGTAACCATAACTCAGCTTGTTATTAATATTATTAATTTAGAAGTCTTGAAATTTTAATATTTAAATATCTGGGTCGCCCTCTGGACAAAAAAATGGAGAATTAAACTCAACAAATCCAAATCAGTACATATTGACTTTACAAACAAGAGGATTACACAACAACCAATCTTCATCAATGGCACTCAAGTTCCATATGCGAACACAGCGAAATATCTTGGAATAACTCTAGATGCCAAGTTACGGTGGAAAGAGAATATCAAGAAAAACATGATGAGCTCAACAATAAGTTCAGAAAAATGTATTGGTTGCTTGGACGCAATTCTGAGCTATCAATCCACAATAAACTTACATTATACAAACAAACTCCATGTCCAGTTTGGAGTTATGGTATCCAGCTCTGGAGGTACACCAGTGAATCCAATATTCAAGTGATTCAGCGCTATCAGAACAAAGTGCTAAAGTGTATTGTCAACACACCATGGTACGTTCATAACAGTGACCTTCATCGTGACTATGGGATTGAGACAGTTACAGATATCATCGCTAAGTCCACCACCTCTCATAAAAAGAGACTCCAAAACCATGTCAACATTGAAGCGTCCAGATTTCTCAACATGAACAATATCATTAGACGACTCAAACGGAAGAAACCGTTCAAACTAGTAAAATGTTGAAGTACTAAATAATTCAGAGGAAGTGACTTAGTTTTAATTTACGTAGTATATTAGGTTTAGAAAAAAATTAATCATTAGTTATCCAACTAGTTTTAATTGTAATTAAGTTCTGGGTTACCCAGTCTTTAATTAATAAATAAAAAAATATATCTGGAGAAAATAACATGTTCTAGAAACAAGTTATGAAGCGTGTCACATGCTTCAGTCTATATGGTGGGCCTGTCAGGAACTGTATTGTCACATGTTAGTGACTATACATTGGGTTTGGATTGATTATTGGATTTATTGCACACTTAACTCATGAAAGGCAGAGTCAGAGTCAGAGTTGCTTTATGACTGGCAGTTTACCACCAGTTATTTCATCTTGGCGCCTAGCCCCTTGAGGCCAATGACCAGAGTTTCTTTTTGGGAGGGGGGTGTGGGACAATTGAACCCTCGCGGTTATAGTCCTTATGTAACATCCTCACACACGAGAGGATGGGTTTGTCTCTTATGAGTAGGCTTCACCTTAGTCAAATGCGTGTACTGCACATGTAGCATGTTATTGAAAATTCTTCCTTGTGCACCATATTACAAGTCCTCTGTCAGTACAGACTTTGCAGAGTAGATCATGTCTATCTTATGTATCTTATGCTAAAACAGCAGCTTAGTCATTTGGACAGTCATAAGCTTGACTGCCGCCAAGTTTAAGCCTCTTATATGTTCTGTGTTTATGTTGAGAATATGTTCATTCTCATAATGTTGTATGTCTTCTGCTTGGCACGTGCACAATTTGTTATATGATCATATACATGCACGCGGTAGCGTAGTTGGTTGAGGCACTGTGCTACAAGCTGGAAGGTTGCAGGTTCAAGCCCCGATGAGGTCATTGAATTTTTTTCAATTGACCTAATCCTTCCAGCTGCACTATGGCCCCGGTGTCGTCTCAGCCTCTAACAGAAATGAGTACCAGGAATATTCTTGTGGGTAAAGGGTAGCTGGCACGTAGGGCTAACAACCTTGCTATCATCTATGAGCCAATTCTCTAGAAAATGTGGGAGCCTCAACATCTCACAACCCTATGGGCCTCCACGGCCTGTTACAGGGACACCTTTACTTTTATTTTTACACACACAGAAGGTTGATAGCCGTGTTCAAATCACAGGCTGGTGTGTAGCTTGGAAAGTTTTCAATGGTGTGGAGAGCCTTGCTTTGCAGGTGCTTCAATTTTAAGAGGCAGGTGTCTGCCGTTGATTCCCAGGCAGGGCACGTGTGAGTTGTTACTGATTTAATCAGTGCCTTATAGAGACTAATGTTTGTGCTTAAACAGTTCCTTTTGAATAGAGAGTAGATGCCAATAAATGTTCTGATGGCCTTGGCTTCAATCATTTCTATGTGTAGTCTCAATGTAACCCTCTTATCGAAGATTACACAGATATTTTACTTGATTGACAAAGGGGATTTCTGTCCATTCAATGTAAGATGAGCCTCAGGGGGCCTAAGTCAGTGAGGAAGGCAGATGACCTGAGTCTTATCTTCTGTGATGTTATTGATGGTAGAAGATTAAAATATAATGTTCATACTGTTTTATAAAACTCATAATTTGCTTCAAAAGTTATGGGGGGGGGAAGATACAAGAATCTAAAAGATCCCACAAATCTGTCATTTGTTATATCAAATATTCTGTTCAGCGATTGTCCCTGTAACAATGTTTTGTTTCTTCACTTTCATCTGATTGGTATCTAATTAGGTTAGAGGCATGGGTTGAATTGCGTTACATTCTCAGTTTGTTTCAGTGTGTGCCAAAGGTGCTTGAAGAAAATGTAAGATTTTTTCAAGACATATACCATTTTAAACCTGCTGTGAATTTTAATACCATGAAAACAATGCTAAACTTATGGCAGATGAAATTTAGTGTTAGATCTGGAACTTTTCTCCACTAGTACTAGTAATAGTAGCAGCAGCAATGCCAGTATGAGATAAAAATGATTGGTGTAAAAGAATAAAAAGATGTATATACATTGCCAGTTTTCAACTGAAAGTACCAAATTTTGTTCCTTTGTGTACACCCCTTTATTGTAAATACTGTGTTGTTGTATCATCCAGGGTTTGTTTCTAGAAGTTTTGAAAAACAAAAAATCATTATGTGGCACCACAGTGATAGATAATAAAACATTGGTGCACAGGGATGAGGTCCATTGGAATACAGTTTGTAAAAGCCTGAAGTTGACCGCATAATTTCCAAATGGTTTTGAATCAGCTCCATGGCGACTGTGTAGGTGACTTTAGTTATACACCATGGGTATGTTCCTACAAATTACCATGCATATTGTAGCATGTAGACCCGTTACTCTGCAATGAATTGAAGGTAGGCAAATACATCACACCAATTTTTGGGTAATGGCTTGGTAAATATGTTCCTGTTGCCAGGGAGCAGATTCATAATAATGCTACAGTTGGACTACAGCAGTGAAAGAGCTGTGTTTTCTATGTGGTTTGTTCCAAGAGGTTATAAGTGAGAGGCGACGAAAAGGGAACCCAGTGCCTGGGCGTATAAATGGGCCACCCTGTTCCTGGCCAGCGGACAGGGCTGGTGCAAGCCTAAATGCTATGTCATGTGACAAGAATTTCTGGAAACAGATCATGTTTCTTGAACCTTTGTTACTATAAGATAGTAATCCCGGACACTATGTTGGAAACCATAATAGTCAAAATTCCTAAAACATTTTAATTTTTGCATAACATGTTTACATATCAGATTACTGCCTGTTAATGGGCATGATATGAACAAACTATTAGCAGAAAATTAATTTTCATTAAAATAAGAACAAGATTGCATAAAATGTGCTACTCTAAAAATTGTGCTGCATCAGGCAGTTACTTGGTTTGCCTGTGTTGTCATTCGGGCCCTCAGCAGATGTGAGTTTAATATTCTGACATGGCACCTGAAAGCTGGAATAGCGGAACCAGAGGAGGCGTTCATTGCAAGGCAGCAACTCAGTAAATTGGTTGCTGCAGAAAGGAATGTGCAAGCAACAATAGAAGAACTGCTGTTTCTATGCAACTGTGAAGTAATCACACCTCTATGACAATAGAGAAATTGTTAGGATACAGTGCTTTCTGTTGGGGCTGACCTGAGGCTGTATAACGAGGATCCAAGAATAACAGAGCTCAGTTGAGACTTCATAATCATCCTGTAAAGAGAAGACTTAGCGTGTGATTTGAAGACTTTATATGTGCTAGTGAGACTGTGTTAAAATCTGTCGCAGGAAACAGCTATTGGAGTCTGTAATAGACTGAGGACACTAGAGGGTGCAATCTTAAAGTGTGAAAATTATCGATAGCACTGTATTACTTGTAGTTATGAGTTGAGTGTGTAAGCACAATAAATCAAATCAGCCAATCCAAACCCCATGAATAGTAACCCCTAAATTGTGAAAGTATGAAGCTTAGTGTGTTGAAATGTTGCCTACCCATCTGGTTTTTGCAGGGTTGGAGGTTTCTCAGAGGAAGGGAAAGGTACTCCAGAAGACTTGATATTCTTCTACAGTCACTTAGATAAAGGAGGAGAACTCTGCAAAGTCCCAGAATGTCTGCTTATCTATCGCTACCATCAGAATGCCACAACATTCTCAATTCATGAGTATGTGCCCTTCACATTGCTTCTCAAGTGCCTTACAGGTTACAAGCTCTTGTACCACGAGTGACGGCATGCACTCAGAAATAATATTCCATTATTCGACTGGAGCCACAAATACAGACAAATCCACTTGGTTGTGTGATGTGCATAAAGGTGAAGTAGGTCAGTTTGTTGCCTGGTTTGTACAAAACAGATTATCCGGTAATAGTCAGCAGTAATCCCTCCACACTCACACTGCTGCTTCGCTTGTCTTTTGCATGGCCACATGCCATTCACTTGTGGTGTGAAGACAAAAGTTCTGTGTAGTGTTTTACTAGAAGAGCCCTGAACACAAAACCGAGGAAAAGTCCTAAGTGAAGAGAATTTTGTGCTGAGTTTACAAAGAAAGTTGGCCCTATCAGTAATGCTTCTTTCTTATATGGGAAATTACAGGTTCAGTTACTTGGTATAATGACTGAGAGTTTTTTTTTAATCTCTCCTGGCATATGCTGGGATAATACCTTAAATTTGGCTATGAGCATTTCCTTCAAAATCCTTTCTAGTTTATTATCCATTAACTGTCCTCCCCTTTGAATCTATGTAGCCTCAGCTAAACCATAACTAAAGAAAAAATAGTTCTTAGTTAACTGACTGCTTTGCTTATTGGAGTACAAATGAGTAAATAAATATGTTCCCAAATGAGGACTATGAATGTACCACAAACTTGTCTCATCCTTGTAAAAAGGAGTTCAGCTATAATAAAAGTGACACTCAGCTTGGGGTCGCTGTATACGATTATTTGCATACCCAGTTTTGCTGACAACTTTTTTATTCATTAAGTGCCCCACATGATGCTCTGATACAGTATTTCATCTGCTACTAAATTCTGTGTCAACATTAATTTGTAATTAGTACATTGTGTTTACAGGACAACAATCTGGTCAGTACGCTTGGTGAGGCTGCAGGAACATGTCCTAAGCACATGGCCAAAATTCAGCATTTGGAATGCTGGCAAACAGGGACGCAGACTGTACCGGTCACTTCATCCAAAGTTCCAAGACAGAGTTATGGCTTTCTGTGATGTTGATGTTAACAAAGTAGGGAAAACGTACTCACCTCCACACCAATCTCAACGCGCCATTCCCATACTTCACTTCAGACAGGTCACACCACCTCTAGTAATTTGTGTTAAGCTGGTAAGCTGCTTAGTTTTAATGTCACTACTAAATAAACTCTTCAGTATCCATATTTTTTACAAGTACAATTACATTTCCTTAATTCCAAGCCAGTTTCCATCGGTATTACACATGAGAACGATTTAGTTCCAGAACACTTTGCAAGTAAATCTACGTACAGAATTTTTCTGATGGTTCTCATTGGTACATCGTATTTTATAATGTGTAAATAAGAGAAAAGCAAATAGACATGCAAATTGTACTCAGAATTATGGAACAACAGATGTTGAATTAAGGATAAACTTTTTATTTAAAGTGACTCTTAATGCATAAGATTGGGAAATGTAACCCTTTGACTGTTAGAATTACCTGTTAGAAATGCAAAGATGAGCTTATGAATGAATGACTAAGGGGTGAACCTTGACCAGTCCTTGTACCACAACCATTAGTGATCTATTGTGAATCCCTCCCCCCCATTTCAACACCTCAACAATCCTGCACTTCAAATGAAGTGTAGTATCTTAAAGGGGCATCACATGGGTAACAAAGTAACATCCTGGGTGACATATGCTGTACCCCACAATCACATAAGACATGTGTGAATGATTCATCTTTATCCAGGCACCTTTCACAAGTGGGATTATTGGTTAATCCCAATTTGAAAAGATGTCCTTTTACTCGTAGATGACAGTGTCCTGTAAGGAGTCCTGTCATTCATCATAATTGGTTACTGTTCATTTCCAGTAGTTTCCTACTTCTTCTGGATGTGGATCCTTGTAGGAAACTTGCATGTTTGAATCCTGTGAAGGACTCCCAGTATTTTTTTATGGTCTCTGTTTGCCCAGTTCCTGACAATCTTCTTGGCAACACCTACTGAGATGCCACTTGCTGGTTCAGGTCCTGTAAAAGGAGGTTCAGATCCCAGTCTTGCCAATTGATTGGCAGTTTTATTACTCTTAACACCTCTGTGACCTAGCAGCCATATCAGTTGAACTATGTTATGTTCTGCAAATTTCATAAGAGATTGATGGCAGTCACAGACCAGGTTTGAGTTGGTCTCTTAATTGTCAATTGCTTTAATTGGAGCATGACGGTCTGAGTCAATATAGATGTATAGCCTCTATCTAGATCCTGCACTGCACATGCCTTGATGGCATACCCTTCTGCCTGGAATACTCTGATGTATTTCCCAAGGCTGAAGCTAAGCTTCCTCGTACCCCAGCTCCAGTGCCTTCATTTGTGTTGGATCTGACATAGCCTGAAGGAATTTTCCACTGATTATATTGCAGCATCATCTGCATATCCTGTTGCATAATAGTCATAATCAATGCGTTCCCATGAAAGTTCATCCACAACCAGGCTCCACAGCAGGGGTGAAAGCACCCCCACCTCCACGTGGATCCCCTCAAGATTTCTCCTGGCAATGTAGGTATCCCAGCTTTGCAGCTCGGGGCAGATCCACCTGCATTTGGCCGGTGTAGTGCCTTCCAGCAGCTTGTGCTATTACATCAAATGAGGTGCTGTCAGAAAAGCTCCCTCTACATCAAGGAAGGCTCCTAAAAGGCTCTTTATTTGGGTTCAGTAGCACTTGCAGTGCCTGTTCCCACGTTGTGAATTACATAATGATATTGATGCAGAAGATATTCCTTTAATACACTGTACCTAATATGTCTGTCCACCAACTTCTCTAAAGTCTTCAGAACAGATGATGGGCTGTTAGCGTGATCAGCCTCATCTTCAGTATAATCAGATTTTCCTGGCTTTGGTATAGATGTCATTGTGACCTATCTCCAAGTCACTGGCATATATTCCAGACTGTAAATCTGCAGCATAGATCCCCTGCTGCAAGAGTACCAATACAATCTCACCTATTCATCCTGATGTAAAGGGTTTAAAGGTATGTAATGCCCATGTAATTTTAGATTCGTTATATTCCTGGCCAGTTTTCAGTCTCCCCTGTTCTGATTCTGCATACATTCAGGTTCATCTGTCCCTGCCCTAACCCTGTCTGGAAAGTGGACTCTGAATAGCTTTCAGATTTTCCCTTCTAGTGTTCTGACCATCAGGTAGCTTAATAGTAGTAACTCTGTTTTGCCATGATGATCATCGATCCTGGCACTTTCCGCTGCATCAGCAATCTCATGGCAGTATGTCCTCCATGAGGACCCCTTGGCTTTCCTAACAGGTGTCCCAGTGTCCTGTCCTCTTACCTACATTCAATAGGCTTCATGTTTTGCCCCTTGGGCCATTTCTCTTGGCAGGTGAGTGGTCCTGGCTGGACAGTCACTGTGATAGCATGAGATGATTGCATGTTGCAACTGGTCACCAGCTAGACCTGTGCCTTGTATCATGCATATTTTTTGTGACATAGTCTTAAGATTTGCTCTTAGATTGTCTTTATATGACTCCCAGTTGGTCCTCATGGGATCCCTGAAATAACTCTTGTTATAGCTATGTTACCTATGTGAAAGCATATATACCTGTAATCTGAGATGGCTTATCAGATACATGCCACTTACTTAGCCGGTATCCTGTTTTATTGGCCCCTAATGTTGAATCAGTAACCTCCTTCGTGTTGCAAGCCACAAAGGTCAGCTTGTTGCCTAATATGCTGGTTTGAAATCACCAGATATTCCACAAGGCTATCTCCCTTGGAACTGGTGTCAGAGTTCCCTTCTAATGTGGTCTGCATCTGCATCACAACCAATGAGTTGCTTTCTTGCACTGAAGCAATAGTCGACAGTGCCTCTCCGTTGGCAGTGGTTCACCCAAGTCATATGGAAGGTATATTGTGGTAACAGTGAGTTTCTCACTGACACTTACCTTCAACTTTCACCTGTTTTTAATAACTGAGTTATTGGGTGCCACCTGAATTTCTTCAAGTATTGGGATAAAGGTAATATGTGTCAACATGGCGGTAAACTAGGGAGCCAGAAACATTGATTGATTGATTTATGTGAGCGGGACTTGAATGTTGGAGAATGCTGAAGGAGTCCAGATTTAATCTTGAACGGTTGTCAAAAGAATTTGTATATTGTGCACTATTTATTGAAATAATTGTACCATGGTCAACCAGTTACATATCTTACAGGCAGGCACCAAACACACCTGAACCATTCTGAGCTCTCTCTTCCAGTGACCAGCAGAGACACTGCCTGGTCACTGACTCTACAAAAAATGCTTCAACCCCTCACATGTGGTTCATATTATGTTACAGGGTGTGTGAACTTGTGACCCTTTTCTTTTATTGCTAGTGGGCTGGGACTGAGTCCCTTGTACTGCGGCCACTTCTGGCCTATTGTACCAGCCCCAGATGATAGGTGAGGGTGGTTGTGGAGCAATTGGTAGAATGAAGATTGGCAGGGGAAACTGAAGTAGTCGGAGAAAACCTGCCCCAGCGCCACTTTGTCCACCACAGATCCCACTTGACCAGACCCGGGATCGAACCCGGGCCACTGCGATGGGAAGCCAGTGACTAACCGCTTGAGCTATGACCCTTGGTCGGGAAATTAATGGTTCCCCATCATTGTCAAAGAGCCAATTTGCTGCCGCCAGCAAACTCTAGAAAAATCCGAAGAACAAGCATATTACAAGTGTATAACACTGCCACTGCTGCCATATCTCACATCATTCGTGACTGACGTAAATGAAAATTTAAATTTTGATCAAGTATTAAGAAAAAAAGCCGGTCACCATAGCTGAGCGGTCTAGAGCATGTATTGTCTTTGCTTGCTCAGAACCCGGGATATTGGGTTCGAAACCCACACAAGGCATGGATGTTTGGTGTGTGTATGTGTTTATTCTGTGTTTGTGTTGTCCTGTGTTTAGGTAGAGGCCTTGCAATGAGCTGATCACTCATCCAAGGAGTCCTACCACCTGTATAATGATAAAAAAAAACCTCGACACCGTATGGTATAAGAGGAATGGATGAAGTAAATAAATTAAGAACATTTTAATTAGAGTGCATATCAATCCAGATTGAAGGACCCCACCCTACCCATTTCTTCAAAGATGAGTTCTTGTTCATTATGTCAACATATCTTAAGGATAATTTTCCTTGAAGATACCTACCTTGATGTTGGTCAGCTGACACACAGAAAAGGTAAATTTGCCCCTTTACTGAAATAATTGAGCACTATGCCATAAAGACATATGGGGGAGTGGTGATATAGCTCCACCTTTCTTGACCTTGGCACTAGACAGAGGTGAGTAGTCAACTTCACACCCCTGCCACTTTACTCACGGGGAATGAGCTCCCCGTACCAATTGCATAAGAGTCTGGATAGGCCCCAGAATCTGTCTGGACACTGTGGCAAAGAGGAAAATCTTGCACTGCTGGGAATCAAATCTGGGCTGTCCAGCCTGTAGCCTGTATACTGACTGAGCTATGGTCAGAGTCTCCTTATAGGTCCCTGTACCATTTTGAAGGTCTGACTCCTCCTGTAGGGATACTACCCTCAGGCCTTGGCCTCTTAGTGGTCCTGGTCAAGGTTTTTCCCTGCTTAGGCATGCCATTGTTCCCTGGTTGCTGGGTGCCCGCAGTTCCTGCTTGTCTTAGCTTTACTAGGTGGAGCCTGCCTACTTCTGAGGCTAAGTGTGTGAGACCTCCTTATGCAGGTGTACTAGAACCGCTAGATCCCTGCTGTGGTGTGTCAGAAGTGCTGGCTCATCCTTGTCCTTGGCTGAAACCTCAACAGCAGGTTTGCTGACTGCACCAGACTTTCCAGCCCCCTGCTGAAGAGTCTATTCTTGTAGGGATCTCCCTGCAAGAGAGTCTTTTTTTTTAAGTCTTTCAGGCCAGATTTTTATCCATAAATGGTCCCATGAGTAAAGAGGATCTAAGAAGTCACCACCTGCAGTGCCCCATATGCATTCAGGACATAAATACAATGGGATGCAGCCCTGTGCTCCAGTGGAATCATTAATGACACTTGATCATTTCCATGCCAGTGCCATGCATCCCTAGGCATGATACCTCACTTCTTGGCTTACGTGGGCCATTGCCCTGCTCGCTAACCTTCTGGATGTTACCTTCCTCTGCAATTAGGACACCATGGTTGGCTTTCTGAGGGGTGGGGCAGGATGAATGCAGACACACAAAAACTGCCAAAATAATTTTACAGATAACCTAATGACAGCAGGAATACAAGCATGAAAGGCTGTTCTTTGCTCTAAACATTGACCTATATATAACTTGATAACATCAACTGACAGAAACTGTCTGCAAAGTGAGTAACATTGTGCCAGCCTCTTTGGCTCTGTCAGATTTAATGCAGGTATGTTGAACTGGTCTAATTGGCTTGCAGCATGCAAAGCATTAAATGTTCTGTGGCCAGATTTTGAACCTGGGTTTTAACTAGTAATTAATTTGATATGAAAGAAAATTTGTATACCTTCAAAATGTTTGTGCTCAGATATTCAATTAATGCATTTAGTTTCAAATACTTTTATCAAATTCTGCAGTTTTTTCATTAGTATAAAAATCATTGTTAGATTTGAGGTTCTTACATCTGTGACTATCAGAAGTACAGTCCTCAGGGCTGTAATGCTGTGAAACTTGGAGAGAGCCTCACACTTTGGAGGAGTACAGCGCCTCAGCTCAGCTAGCCATCTGCTTTTGCTGATTTCTTACTTAGCTTATTCTTCGATCCTGAAGATGGAGGCAAAGAGTGTTGTCTCTGAATTACAGCGTTACAATCTAGAATACTATACCCTTCATAAAAATAATTGTTTCCAAAAAGTCTGATAGATTCCCAAAATAAAACAAAATATTATGCATATAAACCCAAATGTACAGCACTTACATCTCTGAGAGTGTTTTCCTTCCCATATTGTGATGGTATTTTGATGCAAGAAGTTTACATCTGTCTGGTAAATGTGAAAACATGGCATATACTGCAGGCTGACTTTTCACTCTGAGCACTGAAACGTTTAGTCATTTATCTTGGTCAGACACACACAACACCATAAATGTGATCCTGCAGGTGGTGCACATTCAGTGTGTCATTTGACTGGCTCATACGTTTAGTCTTTCTCATGTGGGTTGAGGATGCAGCTCTCTTGAACTTGCTTCCAAAAACCAAACCAAAGCCGTAGCTAATGAAAAATTATTTTATCAGCTTCTGTTTTTGCCACCCAATTGAGTATCTATTAGCTATTGTGTCCCCTTTGTCAGTGTAGCCCATGAACCAGCTTTCCCATATTCATCACAAGAAGTGCATTTTGCTGATAGTTTATGCAAACCTAACTGATCTCTGTGGTATTGTCCTTAAGAAGCTAAAGTTGCCCATCCACTTAAGAAATTCCTGGGGGGTTATGGCACACACAGGTTATGTACCATGTTCACAAGAGCCTGCCATTAGTTGCTCTCCTGAGCCAGATGAATCCAGTCCACACCCCACAATCCTATTTCTCTGATATCCATTTTAATATTATTCTCCCAATGATAGCTAGGTCTTTGTAGTCGGCTCGTTCCTCCATGTCCTATTAAAACCATGCACTTCGCTCCCCTCTCCATGCCTGCCCTCCTCATTCTCCTTGACTTGATCTATCTAATAATATTCAGCAAAAGTACAGGTTATGAAGCTCCTCATTATGTAGTTTATGGTTTATGCATAGGGATCAAAATGTACATCTTGCCTCTTTCAAATTTACTGCTGTTATGCCACCTTACATTCTTGCACATACATAATCTCATTTGATTCTGAAGTAGTTGGGAAAGCAAGACAGGAGACGGGATAACTCATTTGGTATAGCAATAGGCTATGCTGGGCAACTTGACAGTTCCTGGCAGGCGCAAAATTTTTTCTCTACACTAAATGCTGTTTCAGTTTGTGTTGAACAAAAAAACAAACTGTACCAACTGAGTGACTACCGCTTGTTGGCGAAGTTAGTGCCAACTTTTGCAGATAGAGGGTGTCACGTCAGCGCAACGGATCCCCACAGCCGTTGATCTCAGTTTTCTAGATCGGAGCCGCTGTTTCCTTGAAATATCTCCTCAAATATCCTCACGGGGCTGAATGGACCCTTACCTCTGGATCTGTAGCCAGAAACTCTGACCACTAGACCACAGAGAAAATAATTCCATACACAATAAACATTGCTTTCACTATGTGGTAGATGTTAACTCTGTACTCTTTATTCATGTAAGTAATCTGTCACAAAGCTTCTGACTTTTTGCAGGACTTGACAGGAGGAAGTTTTGAGGAAAATCTGAAGTCATTAAAATTACAAGAAGGAATTGATTACATTCACTTCAGCTGATTGAAGATGTATTCTGCTACAATAAACTATTGCTTATTGTGTCTCACTGTTCCATACATTTCACATTATACATTAATCCTTTAATAGTCATGTTTGTCCCATATCACTGACTCTCTTGCAAGTTTTTAAGCATATTATTGAAAACAGAACCATATCTTCAGATGTTTACAGAATGTTAACATGGACTGAAGGGCTGCTCAAGACAGGGTCCATTAATGAGCTATTGCAAATACAATAATATACTGTGCCATATAGACCTGCTGCTAAGCAACAACTGCAAAATAAGCAACTATACAATGGCTTTTACCAGGTAGCAGTCTGTAACCAGCAATAGAGATGTTATAAGCAGGACAAATTAAGAGTGAGTAAGTTGTTGGTGAGTTAAGAGAATTGCTGGGGTTCAGTTGTAAGCTGTTGCTGGTAGAAGCTGGTAGCTAAGGCCAAGGACAATTTGGGAACCCAGAGGAACGGGAATGTCCACCAATGAAGCTGCTAGCAAGTAATAGCTACTGGAGACTGGATGTATGTGGGATCACACACTGTATCAAAAATCCAATAAATCCAGTCATCAATCTCCTAAACTCGTCTATAGTCACACTCCATAAAACTGTGACAGTACCTTTGGGTAACAACTGGAGAATTTTTTGAGCAGTTGAGTTACCAGCTTCTCAGAAAATCCATTTCATGAAGTACATTAAAATGATTATGAAACAGCATCACATGTGAACACACTACTGCCAGTTCCTGACCAACAAACGTTCTAGAATCACAAGTTTGGTTTAACAGATTTTTTGGGCCAGTTTCCCACTAAGATGGCTTTTGGTGGCAGGGGCCAAGACCTGCATAAAAGGCCACATCCTGTGCACTGAAGCTGTATGAATCTGAGAAAAAAAAATGATTTTACAGTTTCCCTAGGTAAAGCAATGACATGTGTGTACACAAAAGAAAACCGTGTATTTTTAAGGTACAGAAGGTAAATTGGCAGAGAGAGAGGGCACCAACTTTTAAACAAAAATAAATTGTTATAATNACACACAAGATAGTGAAGGAGTGCTCCAACAAAGGAGAATGGGCGTGACTGACGTAGTGAGGGGCGACGTAGCGATGTGGTATCCTGAACAATTTTAATATTTTTAACGTTGGACAATGTATATGATAGATACATATTTTAGTTATTTTAATGTGTGAACATGGCATGCAATGAACTGGTTTGACGTGGATAAGTAAGCACCTGAAGATGGCATTATTATGCCGAAACATGTAGTGCGAGGGAGAGAAGGAGAAAAATGAGTGTATGCACTGCAAGACGGATTAAATAAATCATGGACAAAAATAAATTGTAGGGGAAGAACAGTAAGGAACACAGTGAAATCTGTGTTTTTGTACCCATATATTTAAGGAGTAATGCTATCAAATTGAGGTACCAGATATGAAGTGACACAAAGAGCAGAGAAACAAATGGCTTTCATTGATGAAACTTGATTTAATACACACTGTGCAGCCCCTAAGTGCTGGCAGCCATGCCAATCACTTGTGTAAAGGAGTAGTTTGTGCTGCAAAGTGAACAGGATTCCTACCAGGTGTGTTTCTAATGCATGCAGCAAAGTCAGAGTCATCTGATTATCATAGTGAAATTGAGTGTGACCCTTTCAAGAAATTGGTAAGATATCATTTAACCCTTTCATGAGGAATGTGGTAGGGCTCAAGGTGTTACTGACTGTTTGACTATCAGCAGTTCCATGTGTATGTGTATGTGTATAAGGGTTGACCCATAAAATCCGGCCCTCACACTTCAACCTTCAATTGAGGTTCAGCAGTTCCATACTCTCAGTCCCCTAACACTAGTGGAAGTGTGGAATTTTTCAGGCCAAATGAGCTGTACATGGAGGTTCCATGCTGGCTGGGTAATACCCAGGGATAACTAATAGGAGTAATCCTAACTTTGCTATTTGCAATATGCAACTAAGTATCTTCGTTTCATTTGCATAGTTCATGGAACCGTATTTTAACAACCTTCTTAATGAAGGTAGCCTTCCTCTCGTTTTCCCTTTCTTTGGATGTGACTGAGATAAGTCGCACTAGCGTTATTTTCAATGCTATTAGTTCTTTGAATGGAAGGACCATAATTAAATTTAAATTTTCTTTTGCTGACGTTGTTATGTTCAGCACTTCATTATCTTTCTTTCTTCAGTTTTTGGGGGTGAGAGTAACAAAACACGGTGAAGTGACACTGATGTCGCTGGGGCAAACGTTTCAATTCGAATTATGGAGAGTTTCAATTTATTGTATTTGATTTCTCTGTCGATGTATAAGATTAAAATCGAGTAACCTATAACAAATTAGTCCTTACTTCAAGTAGATGATTCCATATTCTATTAATTGTTTAAGATGCGACTCCAGTGAAAATTAGATTTTGAAACTACTTGTACGTGCCATCCTCTTCACCCTCTTCACCGCTCTTCAAGCTCTTCACCGGCTGCAAACGCTGCAAGAGAACAGCTGTTCAGTTTTGGGAACTACTGTCAGGGCCGCAAGCACTGCAAGACTGCAAGTGTAGTAGCACGTAGTAGCATACGAGGCAATATAAGGTACAATATGGTAATCGCAGGTACACGAGTAATTAAGAGAATGAGTTTATTTTTTATTTGTCTTATCAGCTGACGACACCAGTTAGTTTAGGAATTTTTCAAGCCCTGGACCCTCTGGACCTTGTTGAGAAAGGTTATAGATGTCGCTAAGTTGTATCGGTTTTATACTGGCACGTTTATGCTCTGCTTGAGTAATACGTACAAATGAACACAGGAGAAATATTCATTATTCTGTTAGATAATTTATAATTATTTATGGGTACGAGATAAGGAAATATTTTTACGGCAGACATAAATATAATATTCCGTAATACTTATTGTTTAAAATTGGTAAATGTATTGTAACGAAATATTTGTATGACCAACGTGAAGATAATATGTAGGATTTGAGGTTCTCGCGGTGGTGGTGTATTTATGGTTATGAAGCGTTCTTTCGTCTATTAGAGAGACTAAACTTTTTACCTTTTTTTTACACTTATTTTACAATACTTCCATTCATGATATATTATTTTAAACGTATGTTTCATGTAAGCTTGCATGTGGTCTGAGCTCAGAATATTAGTTCAAATTATGCCCTTAATAGGCATTTAATTTTGTATGATGGTATTCCCAAATTGAGGTTAGGTCACATTTTAGTTTCATTTTTCAGCCTGTAATTCAGCTGTACTTGAAGTATTGACTCGTGAATTTGTGTCATCCATGGGTAAGAATGTGAAAATTGATTGCACAAGGCATATGATTTTGAATGATTAATTGGAAAAGCTAGGGAAGGAAGTGGTGATGGCTCTTTTTGAGATAGGGCAGTGCTATCCCATCATTTGCTTACTGAGAGAAGAATCTCAGGGTGCTGATCTCTGGGCCAAGATGTAAACCTGCAATCCAAAGCAAACAAGAGAGAGAGCCACTAGTGTAGATGTCTTGTCCAGTTAAATAAACTTCAACATTTTCTTTTTATCAGAACTAAAACTTTGAAACAGACAAACCCAGTTTTTATGAATGTACACAGTGCTCCAAAAATGTGCTCATAAGACATATTTCTTTGAAAATGCAGTGATGCTATGGGCAAGTGGACTCTGTTAAATGGTTATGAGATTGAAATTATGTTTATGTATCTATGCTTCCATAAGATGAAGTTGAACATTGTTTATGCAGGTATTGATCAGCTGATCAGTGCAGTATGTCTGCTGATAAGAAAGTGGTCCTAGTCACAGGTGGGACTGGACTTGTTGGACACGCCATTCAGACTATTGTTCAGCAAGAAAAGAGAGATGACGAGGAATGGATTTTTGTTGGCTCCAAAGATGCTGATTTGAGGTTTGTTGCATGTGTAATTCATTTGGGCAGCTTAATTCCAATGGCTGCATTTAAAATATCTGGTTTGAATGACAGTGAAGGTCCATTTATCTCTCAGTAATTAAGCAGCCTCCTTTCTGTTTCATTTCATGTAGTCATCTCATTTCACCTGATACTAAATAGCTTATGTAGCGCTGTTAAGCCATAAAAAAAGGTATAGTTCTCCCTGTGCTTATGATAACCTTGGGGGGGGGGAAGGGGGACTGGGAGCTTGTCAACAAAATAAAGATAATGGACAGGGACATGTTATCAGAGTAGCCCTTTTAAGGAACATCACATGTACCAAGAAACCATAGACAACTGGTGTTCCATAGTAGTCATCCATCCAAGTGTTCAAGTCCTGTAATGTTAGTTGAGCAGCAAGGAAAGTGACCACTTGGCCCTCAACATAAGAGGCATCGATTTCATGGTTGAAATTTGTAGTTTCTGGGGTATCATATATAATCATGTACACAGATTAAATTTTTAAATTCGCTTAGTGGGGGGTGGAGTCTAACTGGGACCACTTGGCACAGTGGTCACTGATTGACCTATTGTACCTGCCCCAGGTGATTATGATGATGGAGAATTTGGTGGAATGAAAATTGGCAGGGGAAACCGAAGTACTTGGGGAAAACCCGCCCCAGCGCCACATTGTCCACCACAAATCCCACTTGACCAGACCCGGGATCGAACCCGGCCGCCGCGGTGGGAAGCCAGCAACTAACCGTTTGAGCTATAGCACAGCCGTTTGTACACAGATACTAATGTTACAGAGGAACTTGCTGCCATCATCTTCAGGGTTGAAGTGTAGTGGTTAAGGAATATGAGGCAGTCTGCAAGATGGTTACTAAAACACACTGAAGGGCATAACAAAATGGACCCTATTTCATCCAAATAGGAAGTGGGTCTATATAGCAGTGTTTTTCATCAGGGGAAGAAAATAGAACCCTGAAAATAGAGACCTTGACTCACAGAAGTACACTTTATCATAACCCAGAAAATACAGACTTAATCCCCAAGATCAAGGCTACTTGTCCCTCCAGATGTTAGGTACATGCCTGGAAGACCAATCGTGTTACATCCCAGAAAGTACAGATTTGAAGGTTATACATCATCAGAGGCTTTTTGAACATTTTTGTAATAAGATTATTTTTTACGGTAAGGAGTTGTAAGCCCCACGCCCAACCCCCAAGCTGGAGGACCACTCCTTGCTGGTTGTCTGCCACTGCTTATTCAGTATATTCACAGCTTCCCTTCATACCTGGAGGGCGTCTGCTCCACCTGCAACCTGAGGATGCGCCATGCTGTGGTGACAAGGGACCCACATAATGTGGTACATAAGAGAATCATATCAGCAGTTAAGAGAGCAGAGTTCATTAGTGACAGGATGTCATACATAATATTAAGAGGTCACTGGTGTGATATCATCGCTCTGAATCACACCCCAACAGAAGATAAAATTGATGATATAAAGAACAGGTTCTACGAAGAACTAGAACATGTGTTTGATAAATTCCCAAAGTACCATATGAACATTTTGTTAGGAGATTTCAATGTCAAAGTAGGAAGGGAAGACATTTTCAAACTAACAATTAGAATTGAGCAGTTGCACGAAATTAGTAATGATAAATGGAGTTAGAGCAGTAAACTTTGCAACATCAGAGGTAGCAAATAAGAGATTTTCCGTTGAATTCTTGACAGGTATAATGATAGTACAGTTGCTTGCTTGCAGTGATCGTGACCAGACAAAAGCCTTGTTTAACAAGTATCGCCCGACACATGTGGTCCACCTGGCAGCAATGGTTGGAGGTCTGTTCCACAACATATCCCACAACCTGGATTTCCTGGTATGTATCACAAGACTTCCACACACACCATGAATTTCTGAACAAAATTTCAGCGGATGTCCTTTTTTTNTTTGTGTGTGTGTGTGTGTGTGTGTGAATAGAAGTGTAGTTGTATATTTGTACTGTTTGTTTCTGTTCACAGCGTAAGAATATCCACATCAATGACAATGTGCTGCAGACAAGCTTCGAAGCTGGAGTTGTGAAAGTTGTGTCATGTTTGTCTACATGCATCTTTCCTGACAAGACAACATATCCCATAGATGAAACTATGGTAATTTATTCAATTGTCTGTTAGTTTGTAACTTTGCAGATTAATAGGATTACAGTTTGAGACTTGAGGTCCTCATGGTAGTGAGCATTAAGACCACAGTCTTCGGGGATGTCATTCTGTGTAGGCTTGTAGGTAGTTCTCAGTATCTTAGGAAACTGCTGCCTCTTTTCTTCATCAAGTTCCTCTGAAATGTTGGAAACCATCTATCAGACTTCATGGTGTCATGTAGGATTCGAGATTCTCACAGTGGAGGTTATGAAGAGCTATGTCTTGTGAGATATAATCCCGTGTTTCAACAACTACACGGTATTATATCCTAGAATATAGAACTCCACAATGGATCACATCCCAGAAGACAGCACAATTGTTGTCTGATGTGTCACACAAAATCCTGATTCCCTTTCTGTAACATTTCCTTCCTATCCTTTGATTGCAACATACATGTAGGATACATATGCAGTGAGAATAAAGATACTGATGTTGGTTTTCTATAAGTAACTAACTACATGGAGCTGAGTCCTTCTTGAGAAGCTGCCAGTTGTGTAGGTACTCAGGAACTTCCCAGCATTTTATGGAACTTGAAGGTTTATTATTGTGTTCATGAGAGCCCTCCACTTGTCCCAATCATGAGTCAGACAAATCCAGTCCATACCAACCCATCCTATCTCTTTAAGATCCATTTTAATATTATCCACCCACCTATGTTTTGGTCTTCCTAGTGGCCTGTTTTCTCCTGGCTCTCCTGCCAATATCCTACATGCATCCACCTTCTCTCCCATTTGTGCCCACCTCATCCTCCTTGACTTGATCATTCTAATTATACTTGGTGAAGAGTACAAGTTATGAAGCTCTGCATTATGCAGTGTTCTCCAACCTTTTGTCACTTCATCTCTCTTTGGCCCAAATATTCTGTTCAACATCCTGTTCTCAAATGCTCACAGTCTAATGTTCTTCCCATAATGTCAGAGATCAAGTTTCACACCCATACACAGCCTCAGGCAAAATTATAGTTATGTGTATTCTTATTTCTACATTACTGGATAGTGGACGAGAAGACAAAAGGTTATGGACTGAGTGACAACAAGCATTACCTGAATTCAGTTTCCTTATGATATCCTCCTGAATCAAATTTTGATTTATTGCTGTCATTCTGAAATATTTTTACTGTGCCACATTTTTAAAGTAAGGATCTGTTAACTATCTTTATGTCATGATTTTGCTCTGCATTCTGGTAATGAGACAGCAACATATTGGCAAGTACATGGAGCGTGACTGTAGGTGGGATTTGGTTTGGTAATTTGATTTATTGCACATTTATACAGAAAAATCTTACATGTAACTATAAAGCTATTGCTAATTCACATACTCTGCAGTTCACTGCAGCATGTATGAAATCTTCTCAGTGTGCTGTATCTTCAATGGTTGTCGTCTGGTAATGGCTTCTTCAGCTTCCACATTGATATCCTTATTGGCTGGCAATTGCCTCACAACTTACTACTACTCTTCTAAATGCCATCTCAAGACTTTCATATTTGCAGCTGCACCTTGTCTCACAGTCTTGGCATGGACTGCACAGAAAACACCTCTCCCTGCAATTCTTCTAGTATTGTATGATACAGCTATCACACAGACTGTGTAGAGTATACTGCTTCCTAGTTACTACATTGTTGCATGTTATGAATCTGTTGCGGTCATTACTTAGCAGTGGTTGTTGTTCGCGGAGCCATTACGTAGCAACAGCTGTTGTATAACTGCTTATTTTGTGGTGGTTTTGTAGGAATGGGTCTGCATGCTACAATATACTTAGTTTTCTCTGCGTTTACTTCTAGACCAATGTCCTTGCTAACTTCAGTTAAAGATTCTCTGTTTTTCTTTATTGCAACTATATTATCTCACAGTAGATTTATATCATCAGCATAGACCAGCAGCCTATATGTCCCATTTAATTTCAGCTCTACCTGGTTTTCCTGGACCTTCCTAATGTCATATCCTAAAGCAAAAGTTGAAAAGCAGTGGCGATAAAACATCTCCTTGTTTTAGACCATTTTGGATAAGGAAATTATCAGACCAATGTTAACCTATAGGGACTTTACTATACATTTCATTTGAACACATTGTAATCAGCCTAACTAGCTTCAAGGGTACCAGAACCTGTATGATAATATTGTACAATACTTCCCTCCTAACTGAATCATAGGCTTTCTTGAAGTCTACAAATAGCTGATGTACTGTCTCATTGTATTCCCATTTTTTCTCCAGTATATGACGAATGCAAAAAAATCTAATAAGTAGTTGATCTATAACGTCAAAGCCCACACTAATGATCCCCAATAATTATACCTATATATGGAGTTAACCTTAAGAGAAGGATGTTGTGTAAATGTTTATATGAAGTTGATAACAATGATATTACTATCAGTTTTTATCACCCTTCTTGTAAATTTGTGCAATAGACTCCTTCCACTGATCAGCAATTCTCCCTTATTCCCAATAGAATTAATGAGTTTATGGATCACAGACTGTAATGTTTCACCTCTTACTTGAATCATTTCTGCTGGAATTTGATCACTACATGGTGATTTATATCTTTACATCTTTGCAGTTGCAATTTCAACCTCAGAAGGACTAGGATCAGTTACTAATGGCTCAGCTGTATGTATTTCTATCTGCCGAACATCGCGGAGTCCAGCTGGGTCCACTTGGCATGTCGGCCACTGATTGGCCTATTGTACCTGCTCTGGGTGATTATGATGATGGAGATTTTGGTGCAGTGAAGATTGGTAGGGGAAACTGAAGTACTTGGAGAAAACCTGCCCCAATGCCACTTTGACCACCACAAATCCCACTTGACCAAACCCGGGCCACCACAGTGGGAAGCCAGCGACTAACTGCTTGAGCTAAGGCACGGCCATATCAGTAATGCTTTGTGTTACCATCACTAGAACCCTTCAGAGCAATATGCATTTCTTTTTGTGTGCTTGCAGATTCACTTGGGTCCACCACATCCATCCAACTTTGGATACAGTTATGCCAAGCGACTGATTGATGTCTCAAATCGAGCGTACCATGAGCAATATGGCTGTCTGTTTACATCTGTTGTACCATGCAATGTGTTTGGACCACATGATAACTTCAGTATGCAGTCAAGTCATGTTATCCCTGCACTCATCAGGAAACTTCACGATGCTATAGAGAGAGGTAATGATGTTTTGCAAAGCTGATGTGAAACAGCTGTCGGTGAAAATGAGAGAATTGTGACATTTGCTTGAAACAAACCTTAATTTAAAATCTCCCCCCACTGTTTGACAGAAGTCGCCAACAGCAGCCCAGCTCTTCATCCTTGATTTTATCATCCTAATAATATAAGTGTCCCATTTATCATAAGATGTTTCATGATAGCATGCTCTCAGCTTGCTGTTAGGTGGTAGTGTCATTTTTTATATCCAAAAATAGTCATTGTAAGCATGTAGAACAAACATTTACAACAAAAACATTCCATTCACATTTCATATGCATATTGTCATGTGTATGGGTGACTAGACAGGGTTTGGATTGGTAATTGGATTTATTGAACACTTACAGATTGTAACTACAAGTAACTGTAACACTGTCGCTAATTTGCACACTCAAGCAGTTCACTACAGCACATATTAAGTCTTCTAAGTGTGCTGTGTCTTCAGCAGTTGTGCGGTAACAACTTCCATTGGCAGACGTTCCCCTTACTCTGGATTCCTGAACTATCACCATGCCTCAGCTACCAGCTTCTAACAGCAACGGCTCACAAACTAACTCACTCCACTCCACTGCACTAACTGAACTTAGCTGAACTTGGTCGGTCTCATGATATAGCCTCAGAGTGGACCACATAGAAAACACCTCTTCCAGCAGTACCTTCATTGTTACATGCAGACTGCTGCCTAGCAGCAAGTCTATATGCCACACAATTCATACCCCACAAGGCTACCAAATTTGGCATCAAAATGTGTGAACTGTGTGAGTCTAGCTCCACCTATGTTCAGTCTTTTCCTGTTTGCACTGGATGAGCTATAGAACTAGTCACTGAGCTTTGTGACTCTAGTCTACAGTGACCTGCGAGTCACTAAACACAGCAAAAACACGAGTTATTCAGTCTCAAGGCTGACGCTTGAAGACCCAGGCTCTGTTCCAGTTTGTAGGATTATCCATACATAGAAAATCACAGAGGCAGGTTCTTTGTGACTAGTTTGTATTTTAACTCCTATTTATCTTATCACTGATGCTCCACACTTTTCTCTGAAAATATTATAATCTCAGTCCCCAGATAAAGCATAATCCTGAATCTAGCTGGATTTAGAAAAAAAATTGTACTTTTTTATTATTACAAAAGGTTCATTAATTCCATTCAGTGTGATTGATGGTTTTTTCATTTTAATCTTTTATCCTTTACATGTTTCAGTCCTATAGACCATCTTCAGAAGGATATCAATAGGACCAAAACATGGAAAGGATAAAAGATTAAAAAGAAAAAACTATCAGTCACACTGGACAGAATTAATAAACCTTTTGTAATATTATTAGTGTGACAGATCAGAATGAAACAAATCAAACTTTTTATTATTATTATTATTGTTATTATTATTATTATGTCCATCATAACTGTGACATGTGATTTGTGTTTCTTCCCAGGGAAGTTAGGGAGTCCAGAAAAGACTGTATTCACTGTTCTTGGTACAGGCCGGCCATTACGTCAGTTTATCTATTCCCTGGATCTTGCAAAATTGTTCATCTGGGTGCTGAGGGAGTATAACAGTGTGGACCCAATCATTCTTTCCGGTGAGCGAATTACGTGTTTTCCATTGTAGCCTGCATGTTAATGTTAATGCTTTTGTTGTGTGTGTTTGTGTGCATGTCTGCACGTGTATGCATCGTTGCATGTCTCTCTGTGTCTGTCCCCTAATGACAGTCTGTGTGAGCTTTGTGACATTACTGTATGAGACCCTAATCTTGAGACTTCTGGAGTGAAGAAAGAAAGGGTGACTCATCTGCTATGTATAATATCAGTTCAGAACATATTGTACATATTGTAGTGTGCTTATGTTGTGCTCAAGTGAACTGAAATAATTGTTTTTGTGTCCCTAGGTTACAATGTAGTGTAGAGAATCATTTCAGATAATGGTGACCACTGACAGGTGTGTGTGTGTGTGTGTGTGAATTTGAGCATCTGCTGTTGAGTACCAAGATAATGTTGCCTCCACAAAATATTATTATACACTGGGAGAGTATGAAAATAATAGCAAACGTAACCGAGAAATGTGATGATGTATCACACCGAAACGATATTGTCGCCAGCTAAGGGGGCGATAGTGTTCAGCAAGAAACCTTGGTGATCTGTGTTAAGAATCGGGAGGGAACACAGACAATGGAATGCCACTAATCTGACCCAGCTTCTCAGATCTGGCAGATCCTTGTTAAGGTCCGAGGTTGTAATTTTGCTTGTTGATAGCCTATACGCTGAAGCTATAGAGGCAGTAAAGTTGCAGACCGTTTATCGGTTTCTTCCTCCAAGTTAATTTGGTTTGTAGATGAAAATAATTCAGAGGCCAGCTTTGAAACGGCTCCCAATCTGTGAATTTGGCAACCAGGTCAGAAGGATTTCTATTTCTAATATCGTCCAACAAACAGAAGATGATTGGTAGGTGATGTGAGTCCAGAATATCAGAGACAGTGACTTCTGACAGCTGGACGTTCTTGAGCACAACATTGAGCACGTGACCATTTGCCGCAACAGAGTAATGAGTGGGACATTGTGGTACTGAAATTTCAAACTCATTTATATGCATTTAATTCTATAGTTTTGCACCTGAATGGTTGGAAATGACACTATTCCAAAATGGATATTTAGCATTCAGATCTCCTGCCAGCTTAAGAGCTCAGTTATGTCTGCATCATTCCAGGTGTGGCCCGGGGAGTTATAGACTGCTGCAAGTAGTACTTCGCTATTACCAATCAGTATGCAAACCCCTGTGGCTTGTATTAAAACAAGTGGAGGCAGGTCTACATGGTTGTGGGGAATGCCTTTTCTCACTGCATTGGCAGTTCCACCTTTTCTTCAGGGGAAGCAGTCAGTACGATAAAAGTGATAATTTGGAATAAAGAATCTCCCATGGGGTTTGAGATTTGTCCCTGAGAGACGAGCCACATCTATATGTAAGCCTTCCAGCTGTTTACTGAGCTCATAGCGCTGCCTCCAGATGCAGTTTGCATTAAATGCTATGACTGAGTGGCCTATGAACTCTGGCAGCCATTTTGTTGCATTAATTTAATGACCATTATTCTGTCTTCTTGTGATACAGCTCCACTGAGCACTATCATGATCTGATGCACTGCAGTGGCTACAGTGTCACTGTTAGGCGAATTGGTAGTCTGTACTGACAGGCTGTTTTCTGAAATTCCTGTTGTGGCACATACAGCTGCTGCAGCACGGGGTGTTGGACGCCTCTCTGTCTGCCGTACCTGTGGTTGCTGGTGTTCATTGTCTTGACACAGTGCAGCTGCGTAGGATTGCTCTGGTGAGGTGAACTTAGAGATGAACCTCCTCCCAGAGGGTCCCTTGGAAGCTCGCTTTGCTCTGCTCCTTTGTAGTTCCTGTTTCGTGTGGCTGCATCCTCGGTATGATGCTAGATGATGTTTCTCTCCTTCTACTAGGGTGCAATTGAGCAACTTGGCATAGATTCTGTATTTGTCTTTTTGGGGTATTCCTTGTGCAGTTGGCCCAGACATGGCTGAAATTTGATAGTTGTAGCACTGTGTAAGGCTGGTTTGAGCTCTGTATATCCCTCCCTTGATGATAATGTGGTTAAGGCTAATCCTGCTTATAATATCTTGGTACTGATCACACAGAAAATACCGTTCTTCTATTGTTGGGATGGTGTCCATTGCTGAGGAAACGTGTTTACCAAAGTGTTGCTTATAAACGGTTTGCATAACCCCATTCTTCTGTTGTTGTGTGCGTATGTTGTGGGCATTACCTAGAAATGGTTGCTGTTTACAAAGTCACTGCTTAGCAGTGGCTATGTACGCCACAGTAGGTATGTGTTTCCTGTTCCGAACAGTTTCTGAGATAGAGCTATTTCTCTACGTAGTTCCAAAATTGTTGACAAGAAAGAGATATTATGTACAGTTCATAATATGGTATTTAATGTTCAAGTGACAAAGTTGGTACAGTTTATGTAGTGTAAGACATTTTTCTAAAATTCCACTGTCACCATCAGTGCACTTGGCAGCTCGTGTGAGGACATGGCGTATTGCTCGTCTATACAGTGTACAGTGTACTGTGCAATGAAATAGCTCTATCTGGGAAACGATTCAGAATATAACATATGTATATATACACTTTTTTTTTGCTTAGAATGACCAATACCGTGACATTCCAGAATATTGACCTTTCCCCCTGGGACATCTTTTATATTGGACTTGGCCTGTAAATTGCATATAACCTGTAAGTTACAGTTTTAGAATTTTACCCCAAAGAATATGGCCATGGAGGGAAGTGTGAACTTGGGAATATAGCTAAATGTGCAGTATGTCTGTCACTTGTCTATACCACTTAGACTCTAAGAAAGCCTGTGACTCAGAAGGAACATTCTTATTGAATTCAGTATTCAAGGCTTCCACATTTTCAAGACAGTCAGGTCGCAGATGGTAGTGAGACTATCAGCCTTATGTGCTGGCTGTCCTTTACCCCCAGGAAGGTTCCTGGTACTCATTTCTGTTGGAAGCTGAGTTGACTCCAAGGCCATAGTGCAGCTGGAAGGATTAGGTCGATTGGAAAATCCAGTGGCTTCATCGGGAATCAAACCCTCATCCTCCTGGCTTGTAGTATAGTTTCTTAAACTACACTACCGCAGATCCCAAGATAGCTACTAAGTAATTAAAAATGTGGCAAAGTTCAAATATATGGAAGCTGCTCTAACAGATCACAGTCGTGTTCACAAAATGTTAAAGAGTATACGAAACTTGGGAAATGCTTCTACCATTCAGTTCAGAATCTTGTGTCTTAGATTCTGCCATTTTAAGTTTCTGAAGTATCAAGGTTTAAATGTCCAGCAACACTTGGTGGCTAGAATCAGTGCTACAAGTGGATATTTGCATTTAAAAATATGTCTCTTCAATAAATGAAGGGCCTATCCTATAAATTGTTGTTCACTTGTTATTATACTGTAGACAGCATTGCATAGAAGTCCTGAAATATGAGGGGGACCCAAAAAACCCAGAATTTGTTTATAAAAGAATCTGTATTTATTTTTACATAACAAAACATTAATCCCATTCGAAGTACTCTCCATTTGATTCAATGTACTTGTCCAAACATATCTTCCATTGCTCAAAACATTTTTTAAATTCATCGCTGGTGATGCCTTTTAGTGCTTCCGTCAGTTTTTCTTTACACCTTCAACATCAGCAAAACGTTCTCCCTTGAGGTCTCTTTTCATCCAAGGACATAAAAAGAATCACACGGGGCACGATTGATTGAGTAAGGCAAGGGTGTCATGCCAACAACCATTCATCTCTTTGCCACAAATTGGGACGTTTCCTACTTAAACTGTTATGCATCCTTTTCAAAACTTTGTCAATTGTTCACCGGTGATCTTCCAGAATGATCTGACGAATTTTTGTCACATTTTCATCAGTTCAGGCAGTCGAAGGACATCCACTTCGAGGTTGATCATCAGTTGACATTTCACCACGTTTGAAATGAGAGAACCATTCGTAAATTTATGTTTCACTCATGGTGGCTTCCTTGTAGGCTGTTTGTAGCATAACAACCGTTTCTGCTGCTGTTTTCCCAAAAGGAAACAAAACTTAACAACAGCACTTTGTTCATGTGAACCCATTAAAAATAGACAAAATATAAAAAAGTCACTTGGAAAAAATTCACCAAACACTAACGCAAACTTCTCTGATGATGCCAGCTGGCATACTGATTCAGGAAGGTGCTGCAAACAACCACTTAGCTGCAGAAACCTGTACTGCAAATACCTCACCTTCTAGAAACAAATTCTGTTTCTTTGAGTGACACTTCATATATTATATGTTCATTATACGTCACTTGGCCACTGGGCATTACTTTCATTGATGACAAAATTTATCATTCATCCTTTAAATGTTAAATATAAAGATAAATATGTAACAAACTATAATGTTGTCATTTGTTTTGTATGGGTGTGGTACTTGGTCTCTACATTAACCTTTGTAATTCAGAAATAGGAGATTCAAGTCTTCATGTGCTGTCATGGCACTGGCTATGGGATGTGAACTTGGCAGTATGTATATTGAACATGATATAACACTCAACCTGCTGCTGGCTCCTGCTAGACCTTTGTTTTGCACCATCAGAATGGCTCACTATATGGATAGCGGGGGTTAAGGGGTGAACATTGGTTGAGGATGTATGTGAAAAGGGTTCTGAGTTGAATATTTTGACCCAAGAAGGAGAAGTGACATGGGGGTGGTGAAAATTGCATAATGGGGACTTTCATGCAGAGATGTGGAAAGCATAACAGAATGTTGGTTGGAAAACCTAAAGGGAAGAGCCCACTTTGAAGATCTGGGAATTAATAGGAGGATGATATTAAAATCATCATCAACAACATCAAGGTCTGGACTGTTTGATCCATTCCATTCCTTTAGAAGATGATCCTCTGAGTGTAGTTTCAGGCATCCAGTGGATCTTCTTCTAGATGTATAGTCCATTAAGTGTCCAAATATTGAAATGTAAATTAAAAATAAATCTGATAAGAGGTATGAAGGCAGTTATGAGGTTCAGGGTAGAAATCAGTGGCAGGCAATCTCTATTTAGTCAGCTAGTTGATTGGTCTGTTAGTTGGGTAGAGAATTTCAGATAATCTTTATTGCATTTTTAATACAGGTCCCTTGTTTCATTGTTTGATATGTGTACTAAAACAAAATGTGATTTCCTGACAGTGGATGAAAAGGACGAGGTGTCTATAAGCACAGTTGCTGAGAACATTGCTCAAGCTTTTGACTTCCACGGTGAAATTCAGTATGACTCAACACAAGCCGATGGTCAGTTCAAGAAAACGGCAAGCAATGCTAAATTAAGGAGCTACATGCCTGACTTCCAGTTCACACCATTTCAGCAGGCAGTGAACGACACAGTGCAGTGGTTCAAGCACAATTATAACACAGCAAGGAAATGAGATATTCACTTCTCAGTATTATGTGATTGGTCTCATGAGATGTATTGCTGTGTATGGTTACGAACATCCTGAACATAGACTTAGCAGATACTTCCAAAAATTTGTAACTGCCTACCAGGGTTCATGGCACCACATCTCAGGAGCTGACAGTCGTGCAATAAATAATTGTTTTCTCTTAACCCATTGAGGTTGAGATTTTTGGGTGCAGGAAAATACACTGGGGCTTGGATTATTTATTGAAAGATCAACACATTATGAGAGTAATTCTTCACTGCTACAAAGATGCACCAAAGATACAAGTACTGCAGGAGTATACAGCCAGAAACTGACCATTACCTCCATCTCTGAAGAAAAGCCAAGACTGTGAAGAAAGTCATCTTCTGGGTTTAGGCGCCATGTATTCTTCGTTTTGGCCGACGTTTTGGAGGAACGTATCGCCTCCATCTTCAGAGCAGTTGAATGGCTTGGAATGCCTAAACCCAGAAGACGACTTTCTTCATAGTCATCACCGTGAAAACCTCAAAACTTACAGAAGCCAAGACTGTTTACTAACTGAGAAGCTGTCCTCCGGGAGGGACTTTTAAGCCGTGGGTCCCTTGTCGTAGCTTTACAGCACGTAAAAGAACCTCATATATCCTAAGGAGGTCACTGAGCCACATTCAAGGACATTTCCCGCCCAACAGTAGTCTGTAACGCCTCTGATAGATGGGGGAAGCATTATAGATACCGCCAAGCCAGTAGAGGCCAAACTCGCTGGCTTGGTCGGGACTGATGGTAAGCACCAGTATCAGTAGGGTATAGAGACTGGTAGAATATCATAGAGGGAAGCACAATAGATCAAACTGGTCACGATGGATGGGGAAACCCACCCTCTCTAAAATAACTAACTAACTGAGAAGCTGGAATGGTTCTTGAAGCTAACACGAATGCCCAGCAGTGTACAGTATGCAAATATCTTGCGGGACAGTGTTAGATAATTAATGTTGTAACATTTTTCTACCCTACATTTGTTCCTTGAGGGAAGAAAATAAACACATGAGTTCAGCATGCTGTCTGTGTGTCATTTTTTTATGTGTCATGGCTGTGAAATATTGAACCCATTGACAGACTTTTATGAAACTTGGTATGAAGAATTTTACATCAGAGGCCACAGCCAATACCAACAACATGGTGCATATGTGAACTTCTGATGTGAGGGTGACATTAATTGGCATGTATTTTAAGAACCAGAAATTGTATATAATGATAGATTTCTAAAAATATTCAGCTTTTGTTTAGATATTTTTATAGGATATAAAATGCTGACAATGTGGCAGTGTGAAAATTTTCTTCAGCTCTTGGCTTCATGGCATTAACCAATAAATCACTGGATCGATCCGTGTGAAATTCAGTGTGGAGATAGACTGCTTACATTTCTGCATATTAGGTGTGAAATATTGCTTCTTCAAAACTTCAATGATATAGCCAACAACTTTACTGTAGACTGAATCTGTACATAAATGACTGAGTCTTCAATAAAGTTGAATGAAATAACAACAGGAATAGCAATACTAGAAATGTAAGCAATAAGAAAATACTCCCTTGAGTTCTGCCCAGAACTCCATGTTTAAATTTTTTGTACCTGATTGGCTTCCTTTATCAGCTTTAGATATGCTTCCATTCTCCCCTAATCATATGAGTCCCTGTGGTGTTCATGTAAGCTTCTAGAATTTCATTCTAATTCTCTTTGTTATGCTTAATATGATGGACACTTCTTATTGTCTAAGACAGGCCTATCCAGTCTGTAGCTTGAGGGCAGCATTTTGTCTGCAGCGCAGTGTTATGTTGCCTGTGGAGACATTTGAAATAAAATATATATTTGAACCTTTTCCCTTGCAATGGCACAGTGGAACACCAAAGCAGTGTGCCTGTTTCCTGAAAAACTGAAAGAAGTTACCACTACTTCCATATTCTCGTATGAGTCATAAGTCCTGTTGTTAGCGGTAGCTCTTTGCACTGATTAAATGACTCTGTCAGTTATAAGCTGATATGTGTTGTTACAGGGATATTTTTTGTTACAACTTTAGACATGCAGGGACCAGTAGTGGCTCCTTTCTAACATATTTTGCATTGCTGGTCTTGCAGCAAAAGATCACTCCTAAGTTGAAATCTGTGCAATGTGAAACACATCACGGTGTGGTGACAATCTTATTGTTTTAGGATTTTCGATCTGGTGCCTACTTATTCAACTGCAGGGTTTGCAATATACATCTGACGAGTCCCAACTCTTGGTATGCCTGTGCATTTTTATGTGAATAAGCATTTCTTCATGTTTGTAATGGAACAGAAAAGAGAAAAAATGCAGGACAGTTACATCAGAATGAAAACACTCATCGATTGAATGAAATCAAGTTGCAAGCTAGTAGGAGATTAATGCTATGTGAATTAATTAAATGATTTCCTGACTCAACTGCCCAATATCTCATTTACAGTGTGCAGTGTTTGGCTTCTGCTGGCAGCACCAGTAAACACCGCAGATTGGCCACGCCATAGCTAAAGCGGTTAGTCGCTGGCTTCCCAATGTGGCGGCCCGGGCTCAATCCTGGGTCTGGTCAAGTGGGATTTGTGGTGGACAAAGTGGCGCTGGGGCAGGTTTTCTCTGAGTACTTCGGTTTCCCCTGCCAATCTTCATTCCACCAATTGCTCCACAATCACCCTCACCTATCATCTGGGGCTGGTACAATAGGCCAGAAGTGGCCGCAGTACAAGGGACTTAGTCCCGCCCCACTAGCAATAAAGAAAATCTCTGCCGAGCTCTCAAATATTATATCCCAGCTACTTCCGCATGTATTCATCTGGGCGGTTTCAACGCCCACAATATTCTCTGGGCACCAGTCATTACTGGCGATAGATTTAGAACAGTCTGTGATGTATGTGCTTCGTTCTAACAAGTCGTAAACATAGGATCCTTATCTACTTGTGCCTTGGGGTCAGGAACCTCGCCTGTCTTGGACCACGCCTTCTGTCGCTCAGGGCTATCAGTCCATCTTTAGTGGCTCATTCTTCCTGACTTACGGGGTAGTGACAACTACTCGATAAATCGTCAAATTTCGATACCTTTTCCAATTGTGGCACAACATTCGAACCTGTTCATCAGACGCGCTAATTGGGAAACTTTCTTCTGCGTTTGAGGACATGCAGTTTCTGTCTGTTGTTTCAGTTTTAAAGTATTTCACGAACACCTTTTCCCGAATAGTTTCTTCCTCCATGCCTCGATCGCCCACCAAACGGCTCTGCTAAGGCTCGGCACACTACATGAGGGGCTTTCATGGCTAGTGTTTCCAGGTCAACGCTTTGGGATGCTGCGTGGAAGAAACAACGGCACATGTTGGGTAAGTGCAATTTAACTTCCATGCCTGGCATCAGTTGGCAGAATCATCATTACATCCCAAGAAGACGTCAATGCATTCGGAACTCATACTTTTTTCTTTAGCTCGGGCAATTTCCACCCTTCATTTAAATTTTTCAAAGAGAACGCAGAAGCATTACCGCTAAATTGTGCATATCAGCTGACAGAGGCAGTGCACCGTTCAGTATGAATGAACTCGCGGCGCTAGATTGCTATCGCAAAGCGTCTTCATGCCCTGGGTGCGTCCTGGAGAAATAATTTCTCACCTTCCACCTACAGGCAAGTTTTTCATGCTGTCCATGTACGACAATATCTGGACAGAGGATTCAGCCCTGGCTGCCTGGAGAGAAGCGAAAAGATCATTTCCTCTCAACGGATCACTGTCAGTTTGGCTGTTTGTGTTACCATAGAGGGTATGGTAAATCTTCGACTTCTCTCTGTTTCGTTAATATTGTATGTGCTCTCTATCAACAAGAAAATTGAGTACCACAAGGATCAGTTTTTCTTGTCCTGTTCATCATCACCATCACTAGGATGATAGACGCGGTTGGTCCGTCATTCTCAGCCTCACAATAATGATGACGCTGCTATCCGATTTTCCTCTTCGGCAGCAAAGCCCCAGTGTGCACATTTCTCAAGATTGCTGGGGCCTACACCCTACCCCCGTTCCGCCCCTCAACATGGGAGTTCTGCTCAATGCTACGCTACTGTCGCGCGTGCGTCTCCGCGTTGAGTGCGAACGGTGGCTTAACATGTTAGAAGTTTTGTTTGGTAGGTCTTGGGAGGGAGACCGGACGGTGATGCTTCGACTGCACTATGCCCTGATCTTCTCGACGATGGACTGTGGCTGTCCTTCCTAGACTCCGCACACAACACCGGGATTTGTTTTGCCTCTGGCGTCTTCCGCATTCGTCTTCTGCAGCTAGAGAATCTCTGTCATTCTTGCGGAGGAGCCTCCTGCTCTGCAGCTGGGCTGCAGAGCTGTCAGCACAGCTCCCTCGCCCACCTTTCGTTGCGGCTGCGGCCTTCCTGACCGCCCACCACAGCAGGTGTGGGTTGAATGTCAAGACATTTCGACCTGTGGGACGAGGCTTTCGAGCATCTTAAAGTCCTCTTGCATCATCGGGTAGACTCATATTCCACCTTGGTGTCTCGTACTCAAGACTCGTCCAGTACGAGAAAGGTGTAGCACAGTTCTAATGTACATCCTGTAATTTTCGCAACTTCTCTCCGCGTATCAGGACCACACCGCAGTTTAAACGAATGAATCGTTCGTCCAAGATTCAACTGAATGTGCCTGAATGTATGATGACCGGGGTTTTCGTACCGTCTCCACCATTTTAACAGCGTCCATCGGAGCTTTACTCCCTCTACCGACCACTTCGTTTCATTCGGCAACAGTCTCAGCACTGTTACTTCCTTTGCACAGTCTCCCTAAATGTCTCGCAGAGTTGTCATGGACACACCGGACCATCCCGTCGTTTTGCAGAATCTGCAGCAAGTGTTGCATCTCCACGAGTCACAGAAGTCTGTTGTACCTGGCAACACGGGGCTGCCGTGGAATGAAACAAATCGTTCGTTGGCAGTGTTCGCACCTTCCTGAATCGCGCTGCCATGTTGTCGTGGTAAGACGAGTGGACACAGTGGGCTATTGTCCTTGCCGGTGTGGCGCTCCTCCGACAGCAACGGCAAGACTGAGCAGGTTATCGTCACGTGACCCCGTATTGGGCCCACGCACACAGACAGCCGTATCAGTAACCACTGTGTCGTCTGCCCATGCTATGATGCAGAACGTCAAACATACCAGCTACGGCACACCATAGATGGTCGCCTTGAGTCGTCGCTTCC